TTCTCTGGCAGTTTGAATTCCCTTTTCCCTCCATTGGAGAAAGATATGTAATCTCTTCCTATGCAATTAACAGTTGATTATAATTTCATGGCAATGACTTTGACTTTTATACACATGGATCACACCTGATAGAATACAAAGTAGAATCACCCACATCTGTGGAGAGTAATAATGGTGTGTTTTGTATATATCTATATGGTCAAGTTGGTTTATTGTGATAATTACATCTTCTGTATCTTTGTTTAATTTCTTTCTTATGACGTCTTTGAGCTGTGGTGCTGGAGAAGAGTATTGAATGGACTACTAAGAGAACAAATAGGTTCTTCCTGGACAGGGTGAAGCCAGGTTTCTCCTTGAAGGCAAGGATTCTGAAGCTTCATCTGACATACTTTGGGCATGTTTCAAGGAAACAAGTCCTTGGAGAGGGACATCCTGTTTGGGAGAGTGGAGGGACAGCACAAGAGAGGAAGACACTCGATGAGATGGATCGATTCAGTAATTTGGGTAATGGGAGTGGGTGTGGTAGAGACAATGAGTTTGGCACAGGATAGAGCAGGTTTTAGGGCTCTGTACACCAGCATCAGTATGAGTCGCAAACAACTTGATGGCACATAACAACAACATTGTTCTTAGTTGTATGTGCTACAGTCTACTATTATTGTAGAATAGTCTATTTCTCTTTGTAATTATGTTAGAGTTTGTTTTACATATTTTGTAGACTTGAACTGTGTAGATACTTGTTATATTCATGTTCTTTCAGTGGATTGGCTGTTTTGTCATTATACAATGTCCTTTTTTGTCTCTTATAATGGAATTTGGCTTGAAGTCTACCTACTTTATTACTTGCTTGCTCTCTCTTTTTCTCAATTTTTAACTTATTTATGTCTTTAGGCTTAGGGATACACAGGTACTATTTAGATGTATTGTGGTGGGTTTTTTGTTTGTTTTTTTTAATCCATTCTACTATTACTTTTTGGGGGTTGTTTTGTTTTGTTGCAGTTTGGGGAAAGGTTTGAATTTTAACCAAGTAAGAAATTTGTTGAAGAGAGCTAGTCTTAGGAAGACATGTGGGCATACCTGCTATGTACACGTTTCTCCAAACTCATTCTATCACTGCTGTTTGAATGGTATGTTTCAACTCTTTATGTTCAGTGTGATCATAGATTGTTTTGTTGTTGTGTGCCATTGTGTTGCCTGTGACTCATAGTTCCCCTATGTACAAACGCTCTGAAGCCAGCCCTGTCCTGAGCCAGTCTCACTAACTCTCACACATTTACTCCCATTTCCCCAGTTACTGTTTCAATCTGTCTCATCTGGAATCTTCCTCTCCTGTGCTGTCCCTCCACCCTTTCAATCATGACGTCCTTATCCAAGGACTGGTCCCTTCTGGCCATGTGCCCAAAGGAGAAACTTGGTTTCAACATCTCCAAGACAGACCCACTTGTTTTCTTGGTAGTCAATGCTGTGTTCAAGACTCTTCTCCAGCATCTCAATGCAAAGGCACTGATTCTTCTTCAATTATCCTTAGTCACTGTCCAGCTCTCTGACACATAGCAAGTAATAGTGAAGACTATGGCCTGAATCAGGCACACCTTAGTCTCTAGACTGACATCATGGCTTCTCAGTAGTCTGGAGAGGTCCCTGACAGCAGATTTTCCCAGTGCAACTCATCTTTTGATTTCTTGACTGCTAGTGCCAACAGTGCTGATTGTGGAGCCAAGCAAACTGTCATTTTTAACTATTTCAATCTCTTCTCCTCCTATCACAGTGCTGCCAATTGGCATAGTGGTGAGAATCTTTGTCTTCTTGATGTTGAGCTTCAGTCCATATTGAAGACTACAGTCCTTGACCTTATGAATTTATTTCTGCCATTTGTTATGCTTTTTAAAAGTAGTGCTGAGTTCCCCAGTGGTCCCATGGATCTGTCTCTTGCTTCAACAGTGTTTGGATGGAACAGACCGGGTGACTCCCCTCTTCCAACCTCCAACTACCCTCCAACTTCATCTCCAGGCATAACCTCGGGACAATCTTAACCATCTCCTATTTTGGGGAACAGCTAACACTGTTTTTGTTTGTTTTTGTTAGCCCCAAAACCTCGACCAAATAAGAGGTCTCATATTCGTCAAAATTATTCCACTGAAGCAGAAGCTAGCGTCAACCATCTGGTCAACTTGCACCTGCAGGCCTCTTACACCTACTTCTCTCTGGGTTTTTATTTTGACGGTGATGAGGTGGCCTTGGAAGGCGTGGGACACTTCTTCCGGGAGTTGGCAAAGGAGAAGAGTGAGGGTGCCGAGTGGCTCTTGAAGCTGCAAAACCAGCGTGGCAGCCAAGTCCTCTTCCAAGATATCCAGAAGGCATCCCAGGATGAGTGGGGTAAAACCCTGGACGCCATACAAGCAGCGCTGGCCTTGGAGAAGAACCTAAACCAGGCCCTTCTGGATCTGCAGGCCGTGGGTTCTGCCCACACTGACCCTCATATCTCTGTGACTTTCTGGAGAATGATTTCCTGGATGAGGAAGTGAAACTGCTGAAGAAGATGGGCGACCATCTGACCAACATTAGAAGGCTGGGCGGCCCCCAGGCTGGGCTGGGCGAGTATCTCTTTGAGCGTCTCACCCTCAAGCACGACTAGGGGCCTATGGGGACCTGCAGAGGGGACCTCTGTGTACCCATGCCATCAGCTGCAAGCTTCTCTTTCCCACCTTGATGTAGAATCTTATCCACCAAGAAGCCTCTTACCCAAGACTTGGACCAAATGGAACAATAAAGCTTTTTGCAACAGCAGGGGGGGTGGGGGGAGGTGGTGCTAATAGTTTCTTTGTCCCACTTACTTTTCTGTCCCAAGTTCTTTTGCTTATGGGTTTTCTTTTCATATTCTTCAGTATTATTATCCTATAGCTTTTTATATTTTCTTATTTATTTTGGTATGTTTATTAATTTTCTTTGTAGTTTCTCAGAGAATTATCCTTGTCTTCATAAGTGTGTTATACCTTAACTTCTTCTCCATGTGGAAATTCTATAACTATACCATCTATTTTCTTTTAGTCTTTTTTTCAACAAAAAAGGTCTTTATTTACACAATGAAAGATAGTTCTCTCAATTCTCAACTCACTAGCAAACTTTACACTGTATTCATTTAACAAGTTAACAGTGCCAAACTACCTGTCAAACTCCAAGCACTCTAACTTAAGAGCCAGAAAGTGCATGGAATACTGAAGAGAAAGAAGGCTAAGAAAGGCCAAATAATTTACAGGTCCTTCAAGGGGATAGATGGTTTGGGGTAATTAGATTCCTGAGCACTATCACTTTTCCCTTAAGGTTTACAGGAGTTTTACAGTATTGTTTTTATAAAAACATGAAAATATAATAATATGAGGATTTTAAACTTTACATATTAAGCAGGTTTTCAATGTTCCTGAATTGGCAGAAAGGTGAAAAGGTGGGACTCAGGGTGAGGAGAGAAAATAGCATGGGATACAGCACAGGAAGGTAGAGAAAAAAACAGAGGGAGTAGTTGTGCCTTGAGATTATGAAGTTTAGAACTCATGAACTGAAGAATGAAAAGCTGGTCACAAATCTAGCTGATGAATTACAGTTGAAAGCCTGGGATTTTACACCTTCCAGGGGGTGAAGATAAATCCTAAAGCTGTTAAGTGGCAGGCAACAAAGTACAACTAAGACTAAATCACTTCTTTTGTAAAAATAAAACATTGACGGTCTTGCTTGGGTGGTTACATTCTGTAATGCGAATGTAAAAACATGTATGTCCAGAGCACAGCCACTGAAGCAAGTCACATACCTACATGTAATACAAAAGCGTTTTAAATCAAGTGAAGAGACAATAGGTTTCACTTTTCTCCTCCAGCTTGTTGGCTGTCTCCTAAACTGAGACCATTTTGTCATATAGCCACACTCTGGACAATCAAAAACAGTCTCACCCTGATCAAGGCCCACATTAACCCTGAGCCTCAAACGGCTGATCAGCAGGTGGGATGGAAGGATTACCTTTTTTAGAGATTAGGGGAGGGGAAGATGAAGGAACCAAAGATCCAAAACTGCCTCACCATACACAGAACTAACCAAGTGAGCTCAAACTGGCTAATTTCCCTTAGCTGTTCTGAATCCCTCTTGTCAAAAAGTCACAACCTTCAGAATGATAAAGCAAAATAAGATTTTGCTACTCAGATACTCCAATTCTAGGAAGCACTGGTTTTGATGACAATTTTAGTCAGTTTTATTTCCTTGTTTTCCTTAGGCCCTTCTGCCTAAGACTACTCTGCTCAGCAGGTAACCTCATGAAATATGTATGTTTCAGAATGGCGTCTTCTAAGGTACCATGGTCTTCCCACCCTATTTAGTTGTTCACCTCCTCCTCACTCTGTTCTTCCTCTTCTAGCCTTTCCTCATCTTCATTATTGTCCTCATCTCTGCTCTTGTCTTGTTCTTCTGAATCGGTTTTCTGTCTCTATCTTTCTTCTTTTGCTCAGATGCTTCCTTCTTGCCTTTCTGCTCCCACCTGAATGCTTCCAGAGCCTCTTTCAGTGGAGTAATGAACCACTGGAACTCCATTTCTTCCATGGCTGAGAGGACATCAGTGGCAGTCAGAATCTTGCATTTCCCTTTTATTGTGAAGTTGTTGGCACAGGAAGTGGCATACATCATGAAGACACTGGCAGTGTGGGAGATGGCACTCTGGGCCTCCTTGGAGGTATTGACCTGGTCCGGGGGTGCCTCCTTGATGATTCGGGTGTTGATGGCATTGGGCAGATTTAGAGGGCCTCCTATTTAAGTCCGGACTTCCCTGCGTCGATGCCTCCTTTAGTCTTTTTAAATTGTTATCATTTACAGACTGAAATATCTAGTTCCTTGTGTTTACTTTTTTTTTTAAGCAGCCGATAAGTTTATTCTGTCTTCAAGACACTACCAGGTAGACTTGGACTCCTCTTTCCCAGAAACAAGTCTTTCAAAGACAGGAAACCATCATCCAGGTGAGTTGTTCACTTGTCATTTTCATAGGCAGCTGGATTCTTCCTTTTAGATTTCTCAGACTCCTCGTTGCCCCATGTGTAGACAAGGTAAAACACTACAAATGGGGGCAAGACCCGCATCATGGACGCCCGGGTGCGGCGCAGCACGTTGGGGATCCCCTTGCTGAAATAGTGAGGGAAGGCGCGCTGTTCGAAGGGCGACAGGCTGTAGGTGATCACATGCCGCATCCGTACCAGGTTCCCGAACTCGCGGCCCATCTTTGCGGCGGCGCCCTCCAAAATCCAGGATCCACAGGCATCTGTGTTTACTTTTATAGCTTTATTTTTCTTTTGAGAATTCATTATTTGGGCTGTTATCTATGTGATTTTGTTATATTGTCCTAATTTCAAGTTTTCTGATGTCATTATTTCTCTGTATAGAAGACATTTTTCTGTCAAAGTTTTATATACATCATCTCGTTGTTTCTTGCTTGCATGTTTTTTGCTGAAATATCAACATCTAGCTCTAATTTGGCTCTCTGTAGGTCACATTTGTTTTTTATGTGAATTGCTATCAGAATTGTGGGTTTTTTTTTAAGTTTTATTATACTTTATCTTGGTAACTTCCTTTTTAGGTCTATCCAGTATGAGGTTTATTGAGCTTCTTGGATAGTTACACTCTCATTTTCCATATTAAGGAGATTTTTTCTTTCAATAAAGCTTTAAAAATGTTCATTGTTCTTTTCCTCCTCCACTGACATTTTAAGTATGTATTGATTACTTCTTAAAGATTTCTCATATAACTCTTAGTTACTCAAACAAATTAGTGTTAAGGTTTTATTCTCTATTTCTCAGATTCTGTCTTCCATTAATTCAATTATATTACACTGGTTTTGATTCCCACCCTACATCTCTGGGTCTGTAGTCCACTTTCTTACACTTTTCATCCTTAGACCTACTTCATGTTCTTCTCACCTTGCTTTCCTCTGAGTTTATCCACACAATACCACAAACTACTATTGAAGATTCTTTAAATTTACCTTCTATGCTCTTACCTGGGGACACTGTTAATTTTGTTTTAAGGTGGTTGCACTGTACTAAATAAGCTGGCAGAGCACCTACAGTCCATAGGTCTCTTTATTTGCTGTTTTCATTACATTTCTCCTCTTTGGTGCTCTAAATGATTATTAATGCTTCCATTTATAGTTCTAGATTTGTAGGTTGTCATCTATATATGTTTTACTTGGTTTTTCAGCACTTTGCTAAAGTAGCATGGTATGTGTATAACTAAACTTGATCTCAGGCCATCTCATAAATCTCAAGAGTTTCTCTAAAACTCTAAATACTGTCAGGAAATTATTTTCTTTAAAATACACTTTATATATGATAGTTCAAATATTGCAACCTTCTAATAGAAAACTATCTTATAACTAAGTGAAGTTCAAATTGAAACTGAGGAAAACAAGTCCACAAGAATCAAAATACAACCTTGAATATATCCCAAATGAATTTAAAAACCATCTCAAGAGTAAATTTGATGCATTTACCAGTAATGGCCAAAGACTAGATGAGTTATGGGAGGCCATCATTCATGAAGAAAGCAAAAGGTTATTACAAAGAAAAGACCAAAATGGATGTCAGAAGAGACTCCAAAACTTGCATTAGAATGTAAAGAAGCAAGCATAAAGGGAAGAAATGCTGATGTAAAAGAGCACAACAGAAATTTTGGACAAAGGGCAGCTAAAGAAGACAAGGCAAAGTATTACCATAAAATTTACAAATAACCAGCAAAGATTATTGCATATACTATAGTCTACCCAGAGAGTAAACAATTCTAGCTTAAAGAAAATGTAATCAGAGTACTCCTCACAGGCAAAAATGGTGGATCTGTGTCTTACATACTTTGGACATGTTGTCAGGAGGAGCAAGTTCTCAGAAAAATATATCATGTTGGAAAAGGTAAAGAAGAAGAGAAGAAGATCCTTAACAACATGGATTTACACAGTGACTAAAACAATGGGTTCAAGCATGGCAGAGATCATGAGAGTGGTATGGCATAGGACAAGGTTTCACTTGGTTCTTCATAGTGTTGCTATGAATTGCAGTTGAATCAATGGTAGCCTTACAACTAATATTTCAAAATTTTTTCTTTAAACTACCT